TAACTCACACGTACTGTGCTAGATAATTACACACTTGGAAAACACAGAAATGCCTAATCAGATACAGCCTTAAATGCGCAGGAATTAGGGTTGTAGGACTGCGGCGGAGCATCCCTGGAGCTCTCTGCATCTGGCTCACACAACCAGCCCACGTGCACTGTGAAAATGTTGGGTTTGGGGCACAGACTGCTTTTTATCTCCCTCCTTAACTCCATCCATGGATTCTTTCTCTTGCCAGCTACTGAATGGTGTCGTCGGTGGTCTTTGAAACACCATTCAAAAATCTGTTGAGGCCAGAAAAAAACCAAAAAGGTTTGTAAGGGGGCAACTTGACATCCGCAGAAAATGCAAATCAAGTTTAGCCACTGTTGATGTTTACAGTGTATTTCGCTCATGCATCAAAGCATCTTCCATTCATTAAAAAAGGGTATAAACAGTGGGAATTATTTTGTCATGAGGGACTACAACGTGAAATGAGGTGCCTTCAGTAGATGATCACTAGCAGGGTGTCAGAGCTGTTTGGGAAATGAGAGAGGCTCGAGCCTTGAGTGTAACGTATCCTGCAGGATGTGTGTGGGCTTGAACTGATTTGTCAAAAGCAAAGAAAACAATTTCACTAATGGGTGTTTGCTGAAAAATGAGCATGATGTCTTGGCAATTTTGTGCTGTCTTGTGCTCTCTCTTCACTATCACTCCTTGGCAGCCATGGAGAGGAAACACCTCTGTCTTCTACCTGCATTTTACTCCTTTGGCCTCAGGACTAACTCAGCCTTGCCGGATCCCAAACAGGTCATGCAGAGGGCTGAGAACCGTGTTTGAAACATCCTCCTCCTTCAGAAGCACCTGCCTGACTCCTCCAACGTGTTTTCTCCGTCCCCGTGGCTGCAGCTCCTGTGACCTGCAGCGCAGCCGTGGTGGGGAAGGTGAACACCGGTGCCCACGACAGCAGCTCAGGGCACAGACACTGCCATCCCCTCTCTGCTCCCCCGTGTTCCTGCTGCCAGCACTCGGAGCATGGAATTGGGGATGTTTAGCACCATTTAGGAGCTGTGACTGGACAGCGTTGCCGGGGCTTTCACTGGAGCGCGGAGGCATGGGAAGGGTTCTGTCACTGACAGTGGGATTCCCTTCACATGACGTTTCTTCAGCTGCTGATTCACAAGTACATCACTTAAACAACTTTTTTTTTCCTTTCCCATTTGGGAAGCTCCTCTAAACTTCCCTCATCCTCCGCCAGAGGCCTGGCAGGAGGCCGGGAAGATGAAGAGCAGAGTCTCTTGCAGCGTGTTCCAGTGATATTTCAGTGATACCACTGCAGATGTAGCAAGTACCGAGTACTCCAGGCAGATAAGCTCAGCTCTCCCTGGTTAAGCTGTGCTCAGTGCTGCAACTGCAGCTTTATAAAACTAACACCTTTTTTTACTGGATTCTGCTAGTCCGGATCCAGCAGAATCTCTGCTTGAGGTGGAGTTACCTGAGTAACTTTAAAAATAAAAAAATGTCGTCAGCCAGAACATGAAAAATACAGGCATAAATACTACCCTGGATCTGGTAATTACTTAAAATAAAGCACAGTTCTCAACCAGATCATCTGTTTTCCCAAACTAAGCAGGACTGCCCTTCCACCTGGCACCAGAGAGCCAAAAAAACAGCAGGAGAGGGATTGGTATCAAATCTGGTATCAACAAATCACTCCCAACTGCAAAATCTTTATGTATAAGTTATGAAATGGTTTCAAATTTTAAACAGTCTCCAGGCAGGCAATTAACATCATTAATTGAACAAAATTCAGCCAGAATAATTGATTTAGACTTAATCTCAGAACCTGAGACCTCTCAAGGTGCCTCTTCACCCCCCACACAGCCGTGCTGAGGATCCCTGTGTTGGGCACATTATCCCTGCCAGTTCTCAGGAATCACTACAAACACTCGAGTGGTGAATATTAAAGTGGTCAATCCTGGAGTGGTTGCCATAAAAACAAGAGGACAAACAATAACTTAGACAAGAGCACACTGAAAAGGACATGTAGGAATAAACCACTTTTCCTCAGTTAAGAGTTCCTGATATCAGGGTGCTGTGGGCTTTTTTCTCTCCAACACTTGAATTTCCTGCAGCTGAAGAATTTCAGTTCTTCGTTTTAATGTGTTGGGGTTTTTTTTTTAGGCTTTTGATAATTCTCCTATGATAATTTAAACTATCTACCAGGCAGCATCAAGCTTAGCAGTGCAGACTAAGAAATAAGTTCTTTGTTGGGGGACGCTTTATCCATTTGAAGTATCCAGGATGATTTATTCTTATGGGACATGTGGACAAAGTGACATTTTCCCATCTTGTGCTCTCCAAACACAGGATTGCAGTGAAACCAAAACCACCAGCATCACAATGTGGTGAGCCATCAGCTTCTCTACAGCGGCTGTTTATTGGGACCTGCCTTTTTTATTGAGGGGGGGAAAAAAAAAGAAAGGATCTGGAAACAATCCATCTCAGCCCAAGTTTTTTGAAGGAGTTGTTTTAATTTGCTCCAGAGAAAGCTGTCTGTGTGTAAAGTCACCGATCTGCTGATGAGTAATCAGGGAGCTTTTGTGTTTTAATATTTTGATGTTTAAGGGAAGCAGAGCGAGGCTGACAGAATAAATCCGCGTACTTAGAAGCCGTTCTGCACCGGTTGGAGTACAAAGAGCAAAGGAATAAAAGCACAACAAAGAGCAAGTAACTAAAAGATGCTAAAAGGACTAAAACCACACAGTTCATACTTAACTGAGTGGTGCTGGAGGAGTGTAAAGCCAAGAGATGATTCCTACTCCAAGAGCTGGAGGCTGCTCCTTCCAGTAGACCCTGAAACACGAAATTTAAGAGTTAAAACCCACAAAGGAGACAGGACTTCAAAGAGATCCTCCCCCCTCCATTTACATTTGGGTTTTAGGTTTGTAAATGAAGCCACCAAGAGATTTAGGAGTGGTGTTAAGGAAATGGAAGCATAGAAAAGGTGCGGGGCATCCAGAATCAGGAAATTTCTATGGAAATGCTTGGCCGCTAACAGGATTTACGGGTATCTCCTTGCTCTAATGGATCCTTCTCTTCCACATAATTTCATTACATGTTGCCTGCTTTTCCTGAGTAGTCCCAGCATCCCCGAAACTTGTGGATTCAGCGGAGGAAGGGGAGTTTTTTGGCATCAAAGTGTTGCACTGCAACAGCAGAGAGGATCAACAGCTCCACATTTAAAAGGTGGCAAACTGGGAACCGGCAGAGCTGGAGAGAGGAGCTTGTACAAGGCAACAATCTGGAGCAGGCAGAGGAAGTGAGAGGCCTTTAACTGCTGGGCAGAATCGCCCCAGCCCGTATCTAATGAACCACACGGTATTTACCGGCCGTGTTTGTGTGTCAGCAGACTTGCTTTCCCCTCCTGTTTTTTCCTTTTTTTTTTTTTGGCTTCTCATTTTTTTGCATTTTTAGTGTTGTCTGGTTAAATAATTTAAGTATTAAACAGCAGATCCCAAAGCCCTCTCAGCCTGGAGACATCCTTCAGCCGATTCCAATGGGAACGAGTTTTACCCCTTATTGAAGTTTTCGGGCAGTGAGGCGAAGAGCAGCGCATCCGCGCCTGGGACAAAGGATAACTCAGCGCATCCTGAGCAGGGAAAGGTTGGGCTCGATGACCTCAGAGGTCTTTTCTAACCTGACGGATCCTGCGATTCTGTGAAAGCACCACAGGTGTGCGAGAGCTGGCCCCGTTCCCTCAGTTTTTCCACCCAGGAAATGCGAGCTCTTCCCCAGCCTCGGAGGCGGCCGGGCTCCCCCGCAGCCTCGGCAGGCAGAGGGCAGCAAAGGAGCCTTTTCACTTTTTTTCTTTCCTCTTTTTTTTTTTTTTTTTTTTTTTTTTTTTTTTTTTTGTTCTCAGCCCCGTTGCAGTTGGAGCTTTCCAGCCCGATTGTGCTAAAACGCTTCTGTACCAGCGTTCGCAGTTACCAGCCCGGCCTCCCCTCCCCCTCAGCCCGCTCCCAGCCCCCGGATCCAGGGATCGCCCCCCATCCCAAGGAACACGGGAGGAATGGGGTTGTTTAGGGGGTCGTTGCCTCCTGCCCCCCCCCCTTGGGTGAGGGTCTTTTCGCCCCCCACCCACCCCATTGCGTTCTCCCCATCCCTCAGTTTTGGGGGTGCTGAGGGGAGCTCCCCGCGCTGTGAGGGGAAAAGGGGGGGTCTGTCCCCCACTCCGCCGGGTTTTGAGGGGAAAAGTGTGGGTTTTTCCTCCCCCCATCGGGTTATGAGGAGAAAACGGGGGTCTGCCCCCCCTCCCCCAGCCTGCGCGGCGGTTACGAAGGAGTTTATCCCTCACTTCTCCCTGCTCCATCAGCACAGGAACTGAGGGGAGGTGGGGTTGCTTGAGGGGTGTCAGCGGGCTCGGGGGGTGTCCGGGCATGGGGAGAGGGAGCTATGACGTGCCCCCTCCCTTCTCCCATTCCCGGCCTGGGACTCTTTCCCTCCCGCTCCCCCCGTCCTCCCCCCCCCCCGCTCCTAAGCGGGAGTTTCCAGGAAGCGCTGAGGAGAGCCGCAGCACCGCGCAGCCCTCTCGCACAGCGCGCTCCTTCCGCCGAGGCCGTGGCAGGAACGCCAAGTAGTCCCAACCGCCTCCTCCGCCTCACTCAGCAAAACGCTCCGTCGCGCCCTTCCTTACCCTAGACACTCTTACAGGAACGGGAAGGGGGGGGATAAGACTTTCCCTTCCCGCATTCCCCCCGCCCGGCGGGATAATCGGGATGTAAGGGATGGGGGGGAGGGGGAGGTGAAAAAAGCCCAGCGCCGGCTGCGGCGGAGGGATCCGGAGGCGCGGAGGAGTGAGGAGGCGCGGGGAGCGCTGCGCGGAGCGGGGGGGGGGGGGGGGGGGGGGGGGAAA